TTTAGTGTTTGTGCGCCATCTCTGCCACTCACCTCCCCAGCCTCTGTATGTATGTCCAGTGTACATCAGAGCTCTTGTTCTCCCAGCCTCCTAGGGTTAGTGTATGTGAGAACTGATACTCTATGGACATATGTCTCTAACATTGGTTGCTAATGCCATTCCTGATTTCCTGTGATCTTGCCCCCTTAGAATCAGCAGTCTTTGGGCAGCAATTGATAATAAGAACTAATATTTATTGAGCACCTACTGTGTGCAGGGACCACACTTAGTACTTGATGTGAGTTATCATGCTTATGCCTTGGACCTTAAAGGATTTGAAATGGAGAAAAAGGATGGGAATGGTCTCGCCCTCTTCCTTGTTCCTGGGTTTCCCTTTGCCACTGAAGACTTTGAGAAGTGGAGGTGGAAGGGAGGAGAGATGGGCTAGCATTGGATAACAGAAAGCTGGAGTGATGAGTTTAGAAGGTGAGAGGGCGGGGGGGGATGTGAGAGGAAGAAGGGGAGCGAGCTGGATGCCTCTGTTTGCCCCCCCGATCCAGTCTCTGCCTTGCACCTGCTCTGTGCTCCTGCGGGCTGGCCTGCCATTTGGCTTCCAGTGGGTTCCATTACTTGGGGGAACTGGCAGGAGATTGAAAGTGGGAGGAGTGAGAGGTTGGGTGCTTATTCCCTGCCACCTCACCACAGGTTGGCTGTGACCCTCTGCAAAAGCTGTATCACTTCTCCAGACGGCCACCCTCTCCAGGTTCTGGTGACGGCTCCCTCCTCTGCCTCTCTGGGTTATGCCAACTCCGTCTTGCCAGCCCCAGGTCCCTGCACCATCTTTGCTGGTCCCTTTACACCCTGTGCTCAGCTTTGTGAATTGTCCCTTTTGGGAACTCTCCTCAATTACCTGTTTAAATATCCTCTCTGTCTGGGACCCTGATACGCAGATAGAAGAGTCACCAACTCAGAAGGCAGAGCGTGGCTGAGGGTGTAAAGTGTCCCACGGGGCCACAGGAGGGGGCCATGTCTGCTGCCTCACCACCTAGTCACCCCTGCCTTCAGCTGAGGCTTCCTGAGGGGGAAGCTCACCTCTCTGGGCTGGAATGCAGGAGTTGGGAAAGATGGGTTTGATCTTCTTTCCTGGTAAGGCCATGGGCTTCTCCATTGCCTTCCAGGTAGCCCCTCTGCACCGTTTGTTGTGGGAAAACCTGTTTGGATTGGGAAGCCCACATTCTGGGTGCACGAGTTTGGTGCCCAGATGGTACCTGTATTTACAAAAGCCCAGCACACTGACAGGACCTGCAGACACATGGATAAATATTTTGCCTTTCTTCTTAGGCAGTATTTGAGTCTTTCAAATTTAATTGCTGTCAAAGGCAGGGTGCCTTACAACCCCAAGGCAAAGCAAATAGTGAGGGCCTCCAGCGGGGCTGCTCCGAAGGCTCCAGCCAGCTCCCTGACCGGCCACATTTCAGTCGGTCAGCTTCTTGCTCTCACTGAGTGTCAAGTGGCCTCTTCCCTCAATGGCCAGGTGGGCTGGAGGTGAGGGAGGCTATGGGAGCTGGATGCACCCTGCCTGGAACCTGTGGCCACTTGTTGAGTTTATTTTGAGGCTGAGAGAACCTGATCTTAGCTAAGAAATCGGGTAGTTTTCTCAGAGGCAAGTGACAGGCACCAATCTAGTCATTACCAGTGGGATCCTGGCTTGTGTCCCCAAAGCTGGGTCCAGGGAGTGTTTTGTATGATCTTGAAATTACTGAGTATGGGGCAGCTGCTAGTTCATATGACATCTTTGTGCGAATTAGACAAAGGCAGCCCCTCTGACAGAAGCACCCCCCACACCCCGGCAGGGCGCAGGGCTTGGCAAGCAGAGCAGCCGCTGGACTTCAGCACCCAGGGGTCCCCAGGAGATGCTCTTGTGCAGGGCACACCTGCTCAGTTGTACATGTCTGAGGTCATTGCTGATGGTATTCTGGTTTCAACCCTCTATCCTTTGTATCTTCCTCTCCTCTTTCTTTTTGTCCTCTTTTATCCCCCCAAGCCACTGATCTATTCGTCCCTTGGATTACATTTACAAAGTGCAGTGAGAGGCTGATTGATAAGCCTCTCCTTACATCATCCAGACAGGGCAGAAATACTTACTGTAGACTCAGAGTTCCGCAGTCACCTCCTTTTATTCATTACATTCTGAGTTGCCTCAATTATTTTAATCCCTTGCATATAATGGAAGCAGTTGAATTCCTTGTCCACTGTGGTTTTACAAAGGGCACCTCATATTATTCATTCCCTTTTTCAAAGCACATGTTATTGGTGCTCACCCTGTGCTGGGGGCCAGGGAGATAAAGATGAATGGATAAGACAAGTCCCTGCCCTTGAGAGACTCATAATCGAGTGGGGGAGTGAGGCCTGTAAACAGATAAATCACAGCCCATTGGTGTGCTTGCTGCACTAGGACAGGAGAGCAGGGAGAGGAGGAGGGGCCGATTGAATGCCTACTGCTGGGTGCCGTGGATGCACGGAAGGCTTTGCTGAGGAGCTGCCATTTGGGATGAGGAGGTGTGTACAAGGTAAAGAAAGTCAGAGAAGAGAGTAGGTGCAGAGTCATGAACGGATATGGCAGATTCAGGGCAAGGTGGGAAGAACTACCTGGCTAATGCCTAGGGTGTGTGACGGTTGGGGCCAAAGGGGAGGTGGAGTGGGGGTGGGGACTTTCTGCCTGAGTAGTGTGGGGTTTATCCTGTGTGTAAAAGTCTGGAATACACTCCGAGCAGCAGTGTGGAGAGTGGCCTGGTGGAGGGAGACTCTGGTCAGACAATTCTGGGTTTCAATCCTTCCAGTAGCACTGCTACTTCCTTGGGCAAGTCACTTAATCTTCTTGAGCCTCCATTTTCTCATTTGTAAAATAGGGATGATGATCACAATAACACCTACTTATTTGGGTTGCGTAAAGGATTAAGTAAGACAATATCCATAACAGAGTTTCCTGCTGTTGGGGCAAATGCAGAGCATGAATGGGTTACAAGTGTGTTGGAAAAGTTGGTTCCTTCAGCCTTCAGGGAGGCTGGACAGGGCCTGGGCAGCCGTATCTGTTTATCCTGGGTGCCTTACCCACATCTTTTCTATGTGCTCCATGACGTGAGTGAAGTTGGAAACCGCTAGTCTCCAAGGCAAGTCTCTCCTACCTAGTAAGTCCTCAGTGCATGTGACTGTTTGTTGAGATTGGTCATTGTATTTGTACAACTTCTAGAGAGGGAGTGAGGACAGAGATGAGATTCTGGATTCCAGGAACATTTCTGATGTAGAACTGGCAGAATTCGGTGACCAGTGGATGTCAGGATGAAGGGACACCACTAGAGAGGGGAACACTTTGAGGATGACCATGGGATTTATGATGTTGTAGACTGGATGGGAAGTCATGCTATTAAAGGAAATTGTTATGGAAGTTAGAGCATGTGGGTTTGAGGTATGAGTGTGAGTTGAGGAAGTGGAGACTGTCCGGTAGACTATTTTTTCAAGAGGTATAGCGAGTTAGGGAAGAAGGAAGACAGGGTGGGGATGTGGTTGGGGGACTGCTGGGAGCATTGAGAGACATCAGAACGTTGGTGGGCTAAGGGGACAGAGGCAGAAGAGTTGAAAAATTAAAGATAAAAGGAAAGAGTGCATAAACCTCTCCCCAAACTTTGCCTCTTTGGACAACGTCTGTCCCCTTGGAGGAATGTCTGCCAATAATTGTCAGTTGGGCAGTTGTCCAGATATAATTTATAATAAGGCATCCGTTTCACGAGAGGCACTGTCTAAATTACTACAGTCCACCAATTGCCAGGTTCCCTGCTGACAGTGAGCCAGGGGGGTCAAACAATTCAATCAGGTGCCACCACTTGTAAATTGAAAATCAGTGGGGTGCAAAATGGATTACCGTCAAAACCCATTCAGGTGCAAAACCAAATTTTAAAACCCCTAACCTTTAAAAATCACTCCTTTCCTGATTGTTTACAATGCTCTGACACTGATTTTTAATATCCCCCAGATAAGCAAGCATCAATAGAAATGCCTGCAGGAGACCAAAAGTAACAAGGGAAGAACTCCTCCTCATGCCTCCCTTTTGGAATTGGCAAACATGGTGGATTTATGAATTAATACATTGGTAGTTCTGTTAGATTCTTGAAGGCAGCAGTTCTCAAACTTAAGTGTTTAACAGAATCGCCTGGAGGGCTTATTAAAATTCAGATTGTAGGTTCTACTTCTGATTCAGTAGGTCTGGGGTTGGGCCTGAGAAATCGCATTTCTAGCAAGTTCCCGGAGGATGCTGATGCTGTGGTCCCAGGACCACACTTGGAGAACCTTTGCTCTAAGATATAGGAATATTTTGATCATTTGACTAGCAAAGCATGCATTGATTAATAACAACTTATCAGTAAAGGTCCTATTAGACCAGATGTTGAGTGTGTTAAGGGGCCTCACTTTGGTCCAAGAAACCTGAGAAGAGTCTGGTTCAAGGAGTTACAGATTGATTTGAGTGCTTTGTGTTCAGAGGTAAGGTTGGAGGTGGAGGCTGGGATAGAGAAAAGGGAAGAGTCCTCATCTAGCTCACCATTCCACAAGACAGCGTGTGCTGCAAGCACAAATGTCATCATGAAGGCTGAAACCTGCTCTCTCTTGGTCTGTGGGTGCAAAGGGTTAATGTCTTTCCGATGCCAAACTTCCTCCCTTGGCTTGAAAGCTGATTTTCTTAAGGTTAAACAAACATGGGTATGACTTTCTTAGCAAGCTGCTATCAGCCTAAACTTGGGCTCTTCCCGCCTCTGAATGATTGCAGAGATGTATTTTTGGCAGTTTGATTTTAGTTCTTCTCCCTTGCTCTTTTGGTGTTGAAGTTACTGCCTTATATGAATTGTAGTTGTCACCAGGCCCAATAAGAAATGAGTCCCTTTCCCCTGGACAGAAAAGTGGATCCCAAGAACTGCCCCAGACATGGCTGCTGCCTCATTAATGTTTGGTTTCCTGTCTCTCTTTGCCAGGAGAAATTGAGCGATGCACGTACATCAAGTACCACTACTCCTCAGCCACCATCCCCAGGAACCTCACCTTCAACATCACGAAGACCATCCGTCAGGATGAGTGGCACGCCCTGCGTAAGTACACCTGAGTGTCTTTCTTTGGCAGTGGCCTCTGGAGGGCACGGAGGATGCCCATCAGCAGCTTGGTCTGGATAGATGGATGCACTGAGGCCTGTGGACAGTCTCAGAACATGGTGGCAATTCCTTAAAGTGTCAATGTCTGTGGGTCAGAATGGCTTCAGTTTGTTTTGGTTGCATTATAGGTTTGAGGAGTTTGCGTCTAAAATTAAAAAAAAAAATACAACTAGCAGTTAGACAATGATTAGTGATCTTACTTCACTACCCTGGTAGGCAGTAAGATTTTACCCACCTGATGGAACCAACTCCTGGGATTTAACTCCAGCTAGTCTCCAGGTTGCTTAGAGGATTATTGTGGCAACCTATTAATCCCTTGTGTCATCCTTTGTGTGAGGTGAGACCAGCTGGTTGTTGCAGGCTGCATTGCACTGGGAATTTGCATCTGGGTGGGGTCACTAAGGGGTGGGATCTTGTCCTCAACTTACAAGTTTCTGTTCCTCTAGAATGATAGGCTTTGGGATCCTGGTTCACATGCAATTGCTCAGTAAAGATTGGAATATCTATTTCCATTGGTTAGGGAATTACTTGGTCAGGGGTCCTCAGAGACTTAGATATGATGAGAGGGTGACTTAATGAGCAAACAGAGTTAGTTGGCTATTTTTACCCTTTGCCCCATGGGGTACCCCTGCTTGTCTGTGTCAGGAAAGCTTACCTTCATTGCTGGCACAGTTCTTCATGTGCACACGTTCATAATGTTAGTAGCTCTGTGCTGCCTCTGTTGGACTTGTAATTTCTTTCCTATTCCAGCTTTTTTCACATAATGTCACAAGGTTAAGATTCAGTGTACATTTATATGTGAAGGAGGGTCTTTTATTGTTTCCTAATAACAAGGATCCCATAATTGGTAAACACTGAAGAAGGCAGAAACCATCTTTCTTTTATTTCTTGTTGCCTAGTTATCTTTTGCCTGCAGGGGGCCCACCAGGTATATTCCACTTTTTGGTTTGGTTTTAATCAACCGTAGCTTGGGGTGGGGGGTGAGAGAGATAAGTACAATCAAACAAGACCAGAGCAATCACTCATTGGTTTCAGGAAAAAGATTGTGGCCAGGTGTCTGGATGATTGTTACTAAACACCACTGGCCTGAAACAATAGGGCGGGTGTCATGGATGGAAAAGCATTAACCAAACTGTTGCCCCTACAAGCTTTATCAATAGTAGAGACACTATCCAGAACACGGAGACAAGGTGCTAATGTTCAAAGAGAATTCCCATCTACTAGATATTGAGCTAATCATATTACTTATTTAATTTTAATGTGAGATTTGCTTTAGAGATGCTAGTAATCAGGGTTATTAATTTCCTTTTTTAGGTAGGTAGACATCCAAGGAGCCAAATAAATAAATACCTGACAATGACTGCTTGTTTCTCACATTGCATTGGTCTAGTGTAGTCTCCTAATAGAAGCCAGAAAGGGATGTTCAAGATAAGCCTTGTTGAATAACCACTTAAATATAACTTAAGTTATGGGGGCCATAATGGACTCTAAGAAGGAAGAAGTTATTGACATACCAGCTTCAATTCAACCAAAGTTATGGAGTTTCTCTACATACTAGGCACATAGTGGATACTGAGGCCATAGGAAGCTCTTTCAAGGAGCTCACATCTGGAGGTGGATGAGGGTTAGGGAGGAGAGAGATACATTCACAAAGCAAATAATTACAAGGCAATGCAATAATTACAATATAGTGTAATTGCTCCAAGCAATTAAGATAGTTTGTGAAAGTTTTTCAGCAAGAAGGAGAATTATTTTAGTGTAAATTGCACAGATGCATTTTGAGGGAAACCTTGTAGAACTCTTGGCTATACACACAGTAGATATCTGGAATTCAAATAGATGACCCGTTGTGGCATCACTGAAAATATGTTATGCGGCTTCAGCAAAGACAGAGAGGGGAAGCTAATGCTAGGTTTTGTGTAATCTTTTTTGAGCCTGGTGTCTCCACGGTCCTCACTCCCAAAATGTAGTGCTGTTGGGTTCTGCAGAATCTAGTGTGCAGCTTATGCTGTGAATTGGGTTGATAACAGATCTATGTTTAACTACTAAAGCCATCTCAGCGACTGATGTTTGCAAAGGTTTTGGGCACCCTGTGTTGGGTGAAGTGGAAGCTACTCTTTGGTGTGAGGGATTCATCTGCCTCTTTCACAGAGTGGCCTAATGGGCTATTAAGCAGGCAGAGAACATTTGCCATTCCTGGCGTGATGACAGCTATTTTTAGCCAGAGGGCAGGTGAGCATCTGTCACATCTGAAGTTGGTGCTAAGTGTCATTGGCAATGCTGGTATAGTGGTAAACCAGAGTAACTGTCAATTTTAATTTTCAAAGGTCAGATATTGATGACATTAGGTGGGAAGTGGGCGTGTAAGCCCCCTTTAAAATAAAGTAGAAACTATCAGAGATTAGCAAACTGCTATGATCAAGCTTTGGAAATGAAAAAAAAAATTAGACTCTGATTTCTTTACTGATTTGAGAAAACTATGCTCTTTAATACTGGAAATAGGATCAAATAAATTCATTTAATGCTAGATTGGTTATTGTTTTATAAATGACCATATCTTACATTCTGTAATTTTTCTCAGTAGATAATTTTTGCCAAAGGAAAGATTTTTTTTTTCCTGAAACAACTTCTGGCAAATATTTTGAACTTTGGTTAAACTTGGGTTATACGTTTTTCGTCAGGAATTTGCATGTGGTCTGATCATCAACGATTGACGTGGAAAAAAATCTTTCAAATGGCAAAAGCACAATTTGGTTTGAAATAATGCTGTGGTTTTTGAACAGTTAACCCCACCAATGGGAGGCTTAACTATTTGGCTGAGCGTCCCTTCACCTTATTTATTGTCAGGTGAATAGCAGGTGAAAGAATAAAATTGTCTGTAGGCCACCAGGCTTACAAATCCAAGTGGCAGAGATAATAACCACCATGGAGAGAAAAGGCCAGAGAATCAAACCTCTGTGTGCGTGTGCACGTGCACGTGCGTGTGTGCTGGTCTCTGTATGAGGATCGAATGCCGAGTTGCCTGGGTGACTTGGTGACCAGGTTCTGACTCTGGCTTGCATAATGATTGCTGGTGAGGCAGTGTGTGTGCCTGTTTCTCCTTGCCACCCTGGACCTCCCTGGGAGAAGGCAGAACTCCTTCTGGAGTTGGGACCTGTGCCCTCAGTCCACCCAGGCCTGGTCGTCTGCCTGGGGCAGCCCCCCTGCTTTCCCACCAGCCTGCTGCCTCTTATTAGGTCCCAGAGACCCCGAGCAGCATTTGTCCAGGCTCTGTGGGCTCCATGTACGCTGCACTCATGACCCAGATCCTCCTGCTGCCTCCAGGGCTGGAGCAGGACAGGTGAGTGTCACTGGGCCAGTGAGGAGGGGATGGTGGCCGCAGGAGATGAGCTTGTCTAATGCCTGTCTCCGGGTGGGTTGTCCGGTTGAATGTTGTGACTGTGACAGAATCCGATTAGTGTGGCCAGGGGAAGCAGGCTGGCACTGCAGTGGCATCTTAAACGGCGCCGCTTCCTCCTCTCCCTAGAATACATCCCCACAGGCTTCGCACACTCTGCGGTTCAGTCTGAGGTTGCAGTGCTTGTTTGGAGAATTCTGTGTCCTTGTGCAACCCCCAAGAGGCCCTGAGGCCATCCCAACTGGCTCTGCCGTTGCTCTCTCTGCCACTGGCATCCCTTTGGCATGCCCTTTCAGCACATCTGGGGCCTGGACACTGCCCAGGAGCAGGGCAAGGGGAGATGGGTGTGAGGGGAGCCTGGCTGGCCTGTGATAGGGACTGGGCAGCCAGGAGGCCAAGAAAGCAGGGTCTGGGAAGATGTTGTTGCTGGGAAGTGGGTGCTTCTGCAAGAAGGAGCCAGCATGGAGTGGAGCTGGGCCTGGGGCCCTGCCAGACAACTCCAGGGAAGCTGGCAGGGGGCGCTGCAGAGGAGCCTGCCTGGGGGCCACACAGGGCAGGCACCCTCAGGAAGGTGTGAGAAAGGTGGCCCTTTCTCATCCCCTGATCTGATCTGCTTGGCAGGGACTCTGGGCAGCTGCTGCCGAGGTTCCCTCAGGGTCTGAGCCCTGAGACTCCGAGTTGCTGTGCTTATGAGCTCAGATTTTCTCATTGCACTTGGCATTTTCAAGATGGAGGTTTCAGCTCACAGTTGATTGCCCCTGGCAGTAGGAATCCGGGAGCTGGGACTCCCCTTTCCTGCAATCGGATCCTCTCTGTTATCTTTCAAGAGGCTGAGAGCCAAGAAAGCTTGATTTTTTTTTTTTAAAGCCTCTTCTGTCAAGACTGAAAGTTCAGCTAATTAGATTGGATGGTCACATGATGCATTTCCAGCTGGCCAGGGAGGCAAAGAGAAAGAGAGATGATTTCACCTCACATCCCTGCTCCCACCCCATCCTCATGAGGGCACTCATTGCCCATACCACATTACACACACGCACGCTCACACACACGCACGTGCTCGCACAGTAACCCTGGAAAGTGGAATTGGAAGAAATGAGATATATAGTTAAAGAGGGAGGGAGAAGAGGAGGGAAGGAGTATTGGGGAGAGACAGAAGGGAGACAGACAGACAGAAATAGAGACAGACTTTGTGGAGGAGCAAGGACATTTCAGTGGACACACTGCTAAAAGGGAGAAAAATCAAAATCTAGAACTGTCTTGGCTGATGCAGACACCCGAATTGCACACTAGGCTCACGGTCCCCAAAGCACTCACAGCAGGGGCCTGTAGGTTAGCTCAGTCTTGGGGACCAGCCCCACCCAGGCTGGTGTATGGTGAGAAGCCTCGCCTGTCCTGCTGCTCTGGTGTGGATCTTGGTGCAGAACTCTTACCTTACCCTATTTGGCTAAGCCCTACCTGGTCCCCTCTCAGCTGGCCTCTCTCCCATGACCTCTTCCACACCCTTCTCTCTTTCCAGAATTAGCACATCCTGCCCCCGAAGCCC